TTACAGGTGTGGGCCTCCTGCGTGACGCACCAGGGCCCTTTGTCTGGTTGGTTTCACGCAGCATTTTGATGTGGCCCTTGGGGTGTGGATGAGCGGTTCTTTTTCCTGCGCGCTCTTTCTGCCCTGGGTGGATTCCCGCTGGGTCAGCACCTTTGAAGTCCGGCTCCCGTAAATGCTGCTGATCAGGTCTTTGTGTTCACAGACATGTTTCTTTCGCTGGGGCTCACCACTGGAAGTCGGATGGCTGGATTATGCAGTTGGTACATGTCTGACTTTGAGGAACTCTGGAGCGTTTCCCAGGCTGGTTGTACTTGGCCTGTGGTATCAGGGTGACCATGGCCAGCGTCTCTTTGGGGGGTTCTTCCTGTCCAGGGGAAGCCAATTCACCCTAAAACTTAAAATCTCAAATGATTAGCAAATAACAAAGCACAAATACTCAGAAATATATTTACAAGAAAGCCAAGCCCCTGATAGGTCCGGTCCACATGGGCTCTGGAACTAGACAAAGGGAAAAGGGCTCTGGAGGTTTATTTAAGGGGGTCCATGGAAGGCAGGGATAAGGTTTCCAGGGCGGAGTCTTTGTAGTCCATGAATGACATCTTGGCAGGTCACACCCATCTCACTCAGGTGCTGGGTGGATCTTTGGCCGAGCTTGAGGGGGAAGTTCAGTGTAGCAGGTGGTCATGCTCTGTGTGTGTGTGTGGGGGGGGTGCCATAGGGAGTTCCCAATGCCAGACTGATCCCCTCGGGAGGCTGATATGCACAATAGTCCACACACAGCCCAGGGACAGCTTGTGACAATGTGGAAGTTCAGCATTTCCACAGCGTTCTTTGTAGGCATTGTAAGAGGCATAAAGCAGTATTTTGGGGTTTTGGTCTATGTCTAATATTGGCTGACTATGGTAAGCATTTTGTCATGTACTTGCCCTTGTGTATCATCTTTGGTGAATATGTCTTTAGTCCTTTGTCAGTATTCTCGAGAGGTTTATTTTTGTATTGTTGATTTTTGAGAATTCTTTATATAGTCTGAGTACTAATTCTATGCTTTGCAAAGGTTTTCTCTCAGTTTTTGGCATTTCATTCTTCTTAGGATTTCCCATATAGAGATCATATTGTCTAGGAATAAGGACAGTTTTACTATGCATTTCCAATCTCGATGCCTTTACTTATTTGTTACCTTACCAAACTAGTTAGACTTTCTAGTATAGTGATGTATGGAAAGGTTGAAAGCAACTTTGTTCTCAGCTCTAATGAAAAAACTTTCTGGATTTTTACTATTAAGTTTGTTGTTAGTTTTGGTTTTTCTTAAATTCCCTCTACTAGTTTGAGTAAGTTCTCATCTGTTCTTAGTATTCTGAATGCTTTACTTATGAATTGATTTTAACATTATACACTGCAGGGAAGCGCCGGCCAGTGTCTCATTGTGGGGTCCTTCTTCATGCGAACTAGGGCGTAAGCCACCTGAGAACTTAAAGTCTAAAATAATTAGTGAAGGGGCTGAGGTTGTGGCTCAGCAGTGGAGCACTTGCCTAGCATGTGAGGCTCTAGGTTCAATCCTCAGCACCACATATGAGTAAATAAGTAAAATAAAGGTATTGTGTCGACTACATCTAAAAAATATTTAAAAAATAGTAAAGAACAAAAGACAAAAAGGATAGAAATATATTTCCAAAAATGGAGCCCTGATAAATTCAGTCCACACAAGAGGCTGAGTTAGACAAAGAAAGATGGCTCCAGGGTTTATTCAAGGGAGGACATCAAAGGCAGGGATGAGGTTTCAAGGGCGGAGTCTTTCTTGGTTATATCTTGCAGTCATCAAGTTGATTGACATCTTGACAGGTCACACCCATCTCAGGTGCTGTTTGGGACATGGCAGAGCAGGATAGGAATTCATAATGTGTGAGGGCAGTTCTACCACGCGGCCTGCGCAGTGGTTTCATTAATGAGGTTCTAGGCATAAAGTTAGTTAGAAGAGATCGAAATAAAAACACA